CCTAGTAGTAAGGCCAGGAGCCCCTAGTAGCGTCCTAGTAGCGATGCCCTTTGCTCCTAGTAGCGTCCTTGGCACCCGTGAAGACTCTGATTTGACGTCGCAGTTAGGTGAGTATTGACATCGCCTACCCTCACTTGCAGCTCTTGGCGAGTACATGCGATGTTGGAGTCTCATGGCCCAACCCCTCTTTCAGCACCTCGAAACATGCCAAGCGTGAGGTCGGAGTGGGAGCACTCAAAGCTTTACAGAGGCTCTTCCCGAGCAATAGTGCGAGCCTCAAAGCCGAGGAAGGACGGTTTTTATTGGTGCTCTCTTTCTTCCCTGAGTAATTAGTGTGGAATCTGAGTGTTTTGGGGTCATAGTTTTCCACACTAACATCAAGGCCTTATATAAATGTATGGAATTTTGAAATTTGAAATTTGGTTTTCTTTACTTTTAGTATTCTTTTCTTTAGACCTTAAGACAATCTCTTTCCTTTTTCTTTCCCTTCTTCCTTCCTCTGAGGCATGGATGACCCTCGCGATGTTCTGGGAAATGCTACCCGGGCTGCGAATAGCTCTCAGGCATCTGCCGCACAAAGCTTCTGGCGGCTGCTTGCCAAGGTGCCAAGATGTGCACAATGTGCGAAAAGAGTCTCCGAAACACTTCAAGTGTTTGAACATGTTTGAACTCTTGTTGCAACTGTTGCAGCAACTCATTTGGACATTTGAGCGTTTCAAGAGGTGTGATTGTTCAACATCTAAACCCAGACCGGTGCAACATGTCCAGACAGATGAAAGAACCATGTCAACGTTTGCGCATGGTTTGCGCAGCGCTTGAGCACAAAAGGTGGAGAGCCTGGCACAAAAGCGCTTCGCTCAATTACCTTTAGTCTTGGAGCAGGCCATTGATTTGTGAGTTGCGAGAAACGGAATTAGGAGCCTAGTATCGGTTGACCTGTCTCACATTGAACATGAACACGTCGTTGCTTTGGCAGACAGACCTGTCTCCAAAGCACTGTGCAGGTCTCCACCAGACCAGGGCAACTCAGCGCAGTGACCATGCAGGCGGACGGTCCATGGCGTGTCGGCGTTTTTTTTTGGGGGGTTTTTGATGCCACCATTCCATGTAGGTCCAGTTGTGCGAATGGCGACAGTTCTTGGATTTCCTGGCCAAGGCATTCTCATTTTGTGATGTTCAAAAATGATGAGTCCTCGATCTTGCACAGGCTGGAACTCCTGATGGTCTGGATGAGGAGGCCTTTGACATGATCTCAAATCCCTTAAGATGCGTTTCTCTTCCTCATAATTTGCTAATTAATGCTAATTAGAATATTCAACTCTTGAAGTACAGATTCATTCGTCCTGATTGTCTCACTCATCAGGCTACCGAGGAGGTGTCTGGACCAGCAAAAAAGGCCGTGCTACGGTGCATGTGTGCTACGACGCAGTGCGTGCTTGTTTTGTCACTGGATGTCACTGGGCTGGCAGTACCAATGTCTTGGAATGAAGAGTCTTCATAATGAAGACAGTGTGAAGATGTGTGAAGCAGATGTAGATTGTAGAGCTTCAAATTGACAGGCCAGACGCATCACTGGAAAACGGCGTGCGGATGATATAGGAGTTCTTCTTCCAGCGCCAAGGCGGAAGTACCTTCGCTCTTTTTCCGCTGCAGGAGTAGCTCCAGAAGCGGAGCACGAGGCTTCCCGTCCGGGCAGTGATGCGACGATGCGACAGCTCACGCCGATCCATGCGACAGGATCTTCCAGATGCCGACTCCGAAGACGAGATGCCCTTGTCCAACATTTGCATGCCCCGCATGCACCGTGTGACGCAGGTCCCTCAGGCAAGGTGTCCCCTCCGGTGTCCCAGGTTTCTTCTGGTTTCGAGGCACTTGGATTGTATCTTGAAGTCGACAACGGTTTTCTTGTTCAAGCGTCGAGTAACTGACATGTTGGGGCCGGGATACTGGAAGCATCAGGAAGCCACTAGTCAGAGGCAAATGGAAGGGTGGTGCACAGAAAGAGTTTTGCAAACACCTATTCTACCAACACCGTGGAAGCCGCGGGACATTCGTAGAACCCAGGGCTATTCGTGGAATGGTGGGCCAGTAGGAGAACTGACTGCAACAAAATCCCAGAAACCTTCACAGAACTTTGTGGAAGCTATCTTTTATGGTAAGCGATTTTTGCTGACCCCCTTTCTCCACACATCCTCCATTTAGCCTTCGCGCAAGAATCACAGTCCCTGCTGATAGGTGAAGAGCAATGGAGTCCAAGTTGTTTGCCAGCACGAATCTCCAGAGGCATAGGGAAGCTGTGCTTGCCAACTTGAATCGTGCTGAAAAGCAGTTTGGACAAGTCTTGATATGCACGTTCTGGACTGATAAAGTTGAGAGCCTAGAGCGACCTTTTCTTCGTGCAATGGCCTTTGTTCAGGGGGCCTATGCGAACGCAGCTCGAGAAGCTTTGGGCCAATATCGTGCGCAGGCCTCAGATTCTGAGGGTTTGACCGATGGAGGAAGAGCGGGGACTTCAAGTTTGAGTCTTGACTTGCCTTTTGAACATGAAGACCGATGAGACAGGCCAAAGTAGCATCAGCCCGAAACGCGGTGAAGGTGGGCGAGCCTGGTATGAATCCGTCCATTCACCCAAGCAACTCTCCATTTTGGATTCTCACAGGCGCACGAAGCGCAAGTGCAACGCAGCAAAGCTGACTGCGAAGAGGCAACAAGCCAGGCCTTTGGCGAGACCAGCAACCCAAGAGTTTTTGGTCAGACTAGCAAACTGAGAGACATGTTCACACAGAGACCGACTTCTCGTTTTTTTCTTATTCTAAACATGTCTCAACTGTACTAATTATTATGTACGATTAAGATCTGTTAAGTTATAAAGTTATATTCTAAACTGCACTATTATGTTGTAACGTAACGTATTCTAAACTGTTAAATGTTATGTTGTACTATTCTATGATTATTTCAGGGAGTGTATTACTATATACTATATATTATATATACTATACATATTATTTGAGATCATATCATATTATACTATATTATATATTATATATAATTTTCAATATGGAATCGGTGCGTTTTCCGGGACCCAATGAAACTATAACTAAAAGGGCACACTGAGCCCATGTATATAACTGTATATCATGTAGTTGTGAAATACAGCTATTACTTGTATACTACTATTACCTGTCCTCTCCATCTGCTTCTAGCAACTCACATTAAAGTCTGCATCTTGCAACAACTGGGCATACGTGGTCAAAGTTAGAGTCTGCATTGTACAACAACCATGCCCGTGTTTATACTCAATTTTGTGTTTATAATCATGTCTTGTGTTGCATGCACTTGTTAGTAATTAGTTAGGAATGCAATATGTTAAAATCATGCTGCATATTACACAAGCATATGTCCCCTTCTTTCAACGGAAGGCTGTACTTCCTTTTGAGGACACTCCGCATGTTTAAGAAACACGTGATATGTTGCCAGGGATAGTGGAAGGGTTCATGCCACTATATCAATGCTATTAAGGCGTAAATATATTTAGCCAGTCGGCACTGCAAAACAATGAAGTAGTTACATAGCTGGAATTGCCTAGACGAACATAAAGGCAAGCAAACAAGATATTGTATATGTTTTATGTGTTAAATTTCCAACATATGTTTAATACAGTATATATATAATACACACACTATATATATATATATATGGACATAAGCTCTTGACATACTGCTGTGCTTGGGGCCCGGAAAACTCGCAGTGCCCTTATATATTTTATATGATCTTAAACTGTTAGATATGTGGCTTTTTGTTTTGCTTCTTCTCTTTTTTCAAAGCCACACATCGGGCAAACCACTAACATTGAATGTTGTGGATTTCATCAGAGACTCGGGGATGGGCAGGGATGGGGATATCTTGAAATTGGGGACGCTGTGGAACACCGTGGAACCGCTCAAAGCAACGCTCCAAAGCCCGCCGGGCACCCAACCTGGCAGGCCATGACAGCGCTCCGGCGAAGCAGTCTGGCTGAGGAGGCCGTTAGGTCGGCAGAGCTCCTTGGTCGGCACTGGTGACAAATGCACGGTCGGCTTTCCAAGATGGCATTTGGACGATCTCTATCCATGAAATAGGCCAATCAATGATGATAACAGGCATGACTACGCATTGAAGCGATCCTGAGGATTGAGACTATGCAATTGGAATACCTCCTTCAAGCCTCCCACACCAAGACTGGTGTCACCCAGGAGTTGTGTTTTTTGGCATGATGAAATTAGATGAAATTCGAAGAGCGAAGCCTTCGAAGGACCTCTATCAGAAGCTGGATGATGCAGGGGTGTCAATCCAAGCAACAAGTTTGTTTGTTTGTTTGTTTGCTTTTTTAGATCCCTTGGCCATGTCTCCTTAATTAAGTACTGTAGTAGGTGCCGGTGCCTACTTCATTAAGTAAGGGACAAACTTGTTCGCTCCTAGCTACTGGGGCGCTATTATATATGGACGCAGGATAGCTCACACACTAATGATTTGGTTCCTAGATTGATTGGGAAACTTCATTAGGTAATGGTGGTGGAGTCAGTTCTGCAGACTCATGTCCAACACTACGCTGAGCCAAGGCGAAGCTTTCAGAAGGACAGTTTGAGGCATGATGCCTTGAAATGTTGCACAAGATCACCAATCCTATGTGAATCGCAAAGCCGATCTGCTGGGCAGGTGTTTGCCGGCTTGTGGGGTGCCTCAATGTTTGCTGTCGAAGAAAGTGATTAGGTTGTCTTACTGTACAAGCGTTGAGGCCATCCTTGGCAAAGGAATCTTCTTTGCTTCCGCGATTGTCCACCGCAGCTGAGAGCAGGACAACAGGGACAATAGCAAAGCGAGAAGTGTTCCAACAAGTTATTGCAGCGATACGTTTCGACAAGAGACAATATATTCTACATTGTGGTTCTACTTTTAGTGTTGACATCCTTGTTACCAGAATATACTTACGACTTGCTGTGTTCATGTTTCCACCAATTCCTATGCGTTGGTGGCGTGCATCCTTTGACCGTCTTCCTCCCTTTGGTGCTCCGCGCCGTCTGCTCTGTCAGTCACGAACACCTACACAGGATGGCCCACATTGAGAGCTTGATGCAAGTGTCAGCCTCGGTGCTCCGCGGAACATGTTGGAATCTGCAGAATATGCACGAATCGGTTTTTAATGACCGCTACTAGGAGCAAGGACGCTACTAGGGGCTCCTGGCATCGCTACTAGGAGCAAGGACGCTTCTAGGGGCTCCTGGCATCGCTACTAGGAGCAAGGACGCTTCAGTGATTCACCTTTCGATGCATATGAAACCTTAAGAGACTAAGTCATGATCTCCCACGAAAAGAACCTATATCTTGAAGGCATACTTTCTGGCGAGACAGCCTTGCAACGCTTAACTCAGGAGCTGGAAAACGATGCGAGGGTGTTGGCCTGAGCGCTTTCCTTCGTTGCCAAGTCAACGGAACGAACAACGAAGGGTCATTTCTTGGCACGAGGCTGAGGAGATGGCAAGAGAGCCGTATGTGGATCAACATGCTGTGTGGATCCCAAGCTCAAGCAAAGCCTCTGAAAGTGTGTGCAAGATTGCAAGAATGAGAACACATATGCATGACACGCACTTTGAGATATTCACGTCGCTTCGCGACAGGAGCCGCCCGCACCGCATGGGAGGGTTCAAAGACTGCAGGAACGGGTCAAGGTAGGTACTTCCATTGAACATAGCCCCAGAAGTCACCCCCCCCCAACGTGGCCGAACATAGCTTCCATATTGCCTAACATAGCGCTAGAATGTGGGAACGTCGCAAATTGGTGTATCTTTTCCGCAGGTAGCTCGAGACGTTCGCCGGATATTTGGCTCAACAGGAGCAGAGATAAGGAACGGTAACATTTTCTAACGAGGGCTCAAAAGGGACTGGAATAAGGTAAAGATATTGCCTAACATAGCTCTAAAAGTCACTATCTAAAGGACGTGTCTGCGAGATAGGGACGTGAACGTCGTAAACATAGCCCAACGAGGGCTCAAAAGGGACTGGAACAAAGACCCCCCCTAATGTGACCAAACATAGCTTTTTCCAGGAACGGTAAGATTTTCTCACGAGCATAGCTTGCATATGGTCGAACATAGCCCCAGAAGTGACTATCTCAGGCATGCTTCCTCGAGATAGGGACTTGAACGAGGGCTCAAAATGGACTGGAAAATATTCAAGATTGCCTTACATAGCCCAGAAGTCACTATGGTCACGGAACAGGTGCCGTTGGTAGAGTTCGTTGGAGTCAGAGTGCTTTTTCAAGTAATCGTGGTTGTGGGGTTAAAAGACTGCAGCCATTTTGCGGGTCGGGTAAGTGGTTAGAGAGCTTCCGGAAGTGACACGATCTGGAACGGGTACTTGTGCTCGTGAAAATGTTACCGTTCCTGAACCTGATCTCTGCTTATCTCGGCTCCTGTGGAGCCAAATATCCGGACATTCAAGTCCCTATCTCGCGGACACGTCCTTTAGATAGTGACTTCTAAAGCTATGCTATAGGCAATATGGAAGCTATGTTCGGTCACGTTGGGGGGGGGCTTTATTCCAGTCCCTTTTGAGCCCTCGTTGGGCTATGCTTACGACGTTCAAGTATCTCGCAGACACGTCCTTTAGATAGTGACTTCTAGGGCTATGTTAGGCAATCTCTTTACTTTATTCCAGTCCCGTTTGAGCCCTCGTTGGGCCATGTTTTGCGTTCAAGTCCCTATCTCGCAGACACGTCCGTTAGATAGTGACTTCTAGGGCTATGTTAGGCAATATGGAAGCTATGTTGAGCCACGTTAGGGGAGCCTGTTCAGCCAAATGTCCGGCCTCAGTCCAATTACACTTTACCGCGCAGATGATTCAAATCATGCAAAGGAAGAAAATGGTATTTCTTGCGTCACCAGGGGCTTCAAAATAGCCCCCCCTAGCTAAAGCTATTGGCTTGCGTATGCTAGCTTACGTATAGCACGTGCCCTATAAAAACGCCTCGGCACCTTCGGTGCGGGCAGACTTTGAGTTGTACATGATACGCCAGAAGCACTTTTAGTTGCGCCTTTGCACATAACACGTTCTCAGGAACTCGTCAGCCGTAGCAGCACAGCCTTGCAGGAGAGGGCAGCAGCTCGAGAGGCCGTGCTCGCCACACGAGAGGCCCAAGTCGAACTGTGGAAGCGACAGGAGCACCATCCTTTAAAGCCAAATATATATAACTATAGTTTAGTGTTAAAAAGAGAAATCATCTTCTTTTTACTAGTAGCGATGGCCGCCATCTAGTAGCTTCTAGTTACTAGAATCATGAAGATTTCGAGTCGGCCTTTTGTCCGTCCAATTCTTGTGAAACGATGTTTAGGCCTTTCTTGAACTCTAAACGGAGCAAGGAAGGACCCCCGACCACGCGTATTTCCAAACGGAGCGACAGTATCTTCTTTATCGATGTCATGATCTTTTGAGCCGGAACATGTCGAGGCACTACGTTTGGCCCAGCAACGGTGCCAGGAGGCCTTGCAGCAGCTGAACCAGCAGCGTTTGGCATTACAACTGGCAGAAGCGGAGGCATCGATGGGAATTGAGGGAAACACCAAAACGAAGAAAGAGAGATGAAGAAAGCCGGAGAAAGGAGAATCATGAACGGGTCGAAAGGTCTAGATGGTAGTTACGGCCTAAGGACCAGCCAATATCGAATTGGTCCTAGTTTTCAATGGCGTTCTTGTTTTTTGTATATTGGCATTGTCAAACAATCACGGAAGGGACCATGAGAAGACGAGTGAGTGTAACGGGACGCTACTAGTATACTAGGAGCAAGGAAGCTACTAGGGGCTCCTGGCCTTACTACTAGGAGCAAGAAGCTACTAGGGGCTCCTGGCATCGCTGCTGGGAGCAAGGACGCTACTAGGGGCTCCTGGCCGTACTACTAGGACCAAGAAGCTACTAGGGGCTCCTGGCATCGCTGCTAGGAGCAAGGACGCTACTAGGGACTCCGGGCCTTACTACTAGGAGCAAGAAGCTACTAGGAGCATCGCTGCTAGGAGCAAGGACGCTACTAGGGGCTCCTCACCTTACTACTAGGAGCAAGAAGCTACTAGCGGCTCCTGGCATCGCTGCTAGAAGCAAGAAGCTACTAAGGGCTCCTGCCTCGCTGCTAGGAGCAAGGACGCTACTAGGGGGTCCTGGCCTTACTACTAGGAGCAAGAAGCTACTAGGGGCTCCTGGCATCGCTGCTAGGAGC